GCTGCTACGTGGGGGCCACGGTGCTGCGGGGCCGGCTCTACGCCATCGCCGGGTAAGGCCGCGRGGTCCTGCAGCTCTGGGTGCTCAGCAAGGGACCTGAGGGGACACAGCTGCTGCCCCTGCTACGGGGCCTCTCCTCACACTGGTAATTTAAGCTCTTGTGAGAGGAGACATCACCATGAAGTTCTGGGGCCCAGGCAGGTGGGAGCGGGGCAGCCGACAGCAAAGGTAGCCTGATGCAGGAGTTATAATTTGGGCTTTGCTGTATGTCCAGCCTCCCTAAAGAGCTCTGAATGCCTCAGCCCCTTCCTCCAGCACCGTACTTCATTTGTAACTTTCTGTCCTGGCAGATACGATGGCAACTCACTGCTGAGCAGCATCGAGTGCTACGATCCCATCATTGACAGCTGGGAAGTGGTCACCTCCCTGGGGATGCAGCGCTGCGATGCAGGGGTCTGCGTCCTTCGGGAGAAGTGATCAGGAGAGAACTCACAAAGAAAAACATTCTAAAAAGTCTCGGCTGGAGGAAGAGTCCCAAGTGATTTGCAGTGACTGTTCTTGAGAGTTGTGGATGCTGTGGGAATAGGCACCAGAACAGCAGCTTTCTGTGCTGCTTGTGACTAGAGCATGTGCATAACCGTGTGATCTCWGCAGTCATCTGAAATCACGGGCTCTGGGGGAAGCTGGAGGAAGGGGGTGAATGGGTCAGGAGGAGCTGCACTCTCCTGTTCCTGTGGCTCAGTCTGTGGGCAGAGCAGAGTTGCCCCAGCCTGGTCTCAGGCAGCCTGGTGAGCCCTCCCAAGGACATGTACATACCACTGGGTCACCTCTTCTGCCACCACAGGACCCCGCGGGTCCTCGGGTCACTCTCAGCCACGTGGATGTGTGAGGGTGGATCCAGCTGCTCTTGTGTTCCAGCTTCAAATCATCGTGTACATACTGAATGTTCAGCCGTGCTCSTGGAGCAGGCGTGGGTGCAGAGCCAGCTTGGGTGAGTGTGTGAGGGGCCCTGCACCGGCAGGGTCTGCAGGGCCCTCGCAGGGCTGCACACAAAAGGAGTCGCAGGTTAAAGCTCTCAACTACTGAGACGCAGAGCCTGAGGCCACAAGGGGCAGAGGGCAGGGGAGGAGCTCCCAGCCTGCCACCAAAGCACTTCTGCAGCGTTTGTGCTCTCAGTGGGGTGCTCAGCAAGATTCATCACATCGTGTTTCCTCAAAAAGCTTGACAGCTTCAGCTGCAAACGATGTGTGGCACCCGGAGCTTGGCTGTGCTTCGGCCAGGCCCCACCATGGGGGGAGGTCACTTGGGCTGAGGCCAGGACAGTGGGGACACAGTGGCTGCTGCCMAGCAAGGTCCTGCTGGTGAGTCCCTGGGGTTTGGCCCCAGTCAGACCTGAGTCCACCCATGGCAGCCTTTCACTCGAGTTTATTGTGTTGGTTTTCCTTTTATGCAGGATTCTTTTGCTTCCAGGGCTGTACTGGAGTGACATCCATCCAGGATTCCCTTTGTTCCCMGCTGTTCATTCCCCTGTCTCATAACTCCACAATCCGTGCCACCTGCTATCCCTGGCCTGCCCCACGAGCCCAGCTGAGGCTCCAGTGGCTCAGGCCGGCTCATGGAGYGCTCCCTGCTCAGCATGTCCTGCCTCGCTGCGTTCCTGGGGGCACGGGCTCCCCTCTGCCATCAGCTTGGCCCCACAGTGCCTGGGCTCCATGTAGTGCTGCTCGTTGAGCTTCCTGCTGACTCCTTGCTTGGGGACAGGGTGGGATCAGGGACATGGTAGCATGACCTAATTATGCACTTTCAGCCAATGCTCTGACCTTCTGCGTTTGTTTCTATCACACAAGTGTTCTGTGGTTTTGTTTCCTATGTTTATTTTTTAATGAAAGTATAAAGAATAAAATATTTCCTGAGCCAGTGGGAGTTCAGCTTCTGTTCACTACCTTCCAGACATTTGTCTAACTATTGAAGGGTTTGTGCAAAGCCTGTGTTAAACCAGGCAGCTGCCATCAGCTGTGAGATGTGTGGCACAGAGACWGTTGCCTTGAGGGTTAGTTTTAATTATGAGACAAAATATAGCTAAGGGGATAAAAGGGTTTTATTTTGGTATTTAATGGGATTTTAGGTGCACAATTTGACAGAATGGAAAAGGCCCTGGAAAATGCACATTGTGTATAATACGTATATAAGTTTTATAGACTTTATACATTAGCATATTTATTTAGATTTTTTTTTATAAGAAACTTAACAAATGAAGTAATATTCTCTTATTCTAAAGAATTTTTTTGGAATGAGGTTAGAGTTCAGTTTACACAATATGTTTTAGAGAGAAGGTTCTAATTTTCAGGTTTAAGATAGGAAAAGGCACATTGACTCTTTACTGAGGATGTTTGGTTTTTCTGTCTAATAGAACTCCAATATTAAGTTAGAATATTACATTATAAGAATTACAAGCATGTAGGCTAAGGGTACAGGGACACACAAAGGGTATAGAGAATGTTTAAAAGGGTATATAAAATATATCAAAGGGTACATGAAAGGTAAAAATCATCAGGCATCATTACCAGCCAGGCCTGGAGGACTCCCTAAGGAGGGAATTTGTTGCAAAGTTTGTTGGAGAAGAGCATGGCAGCAGAGGAGGGAAAGACTCGGATTACAGTCCACAGCAATAATGAATCATGAGGAGCTGAACTTGAGCCCACATGTGCCCAGGTGGCCAAAAAGGCCAATGGCACCTGGCTTGTACCARCCATGGTGTGACCAGCAGGACCAGTGACCATCCCTCTGAGCTGGGCACTGCTGAGGCCCCACCTCCAGTCCTGGGGTCAGTTTGGGGGCCCTCGCAAGAAGAAAGACGTTGAGGGGCTGAAGCATGTCCAGAGAAGGTAATGGGGCTGGGGAAGGGTCTGGAGCACCAGGAGCGGCTGAGGGAGCTGAAGGGGCTCAGCCTGGAGAAAAGGGGGATCAGGGGGACCTTCTGGCTCTGCACAACTCCCTGRCAGGAGGGGGCAGCTGGGAAGAGTCAAGCTCTGCTCCCAGGGAACAGGGACAGGACAAGAGGAAACAGCCTCAAGCTGTGCCAGGGGAGGGTCAGGTTGGATATTGGGGAAAATTTCTTACCTGAAAGGGTGGCCAGGCACAGGCACAGCTGTCCAGGGCTGGGGTGGAATCACCAACCCTGAAAGTGTTCAAAAAACATGTGGATGTGGCACGTGGGGATACGGTATAGTGCCCAGTGGCATTGCTGGGGCAATGGTTGGACTTGGTCTTAGAGGGCTTTTCCAAATTTAACAATTCCTTAATTCTAATACTGTTATAAAAACTGCAGTTGCAAACATTACAGCTCCTTCTCTACTGTGGGCATGTAGATGGGATGGAGTCCAGAATTCATCTGTCCACATGCAAAACACAGATTGTGTTSTTTCASRACAAACTGCAGCATCCTGCCCCAGYRGCCTTTGATGGCTCCAGAYCCTCTCCCCACCTCCTGGTCCCTCCATGATCAGCTCACCACTCACTCCAGGTGCTCAGCAGCCTCTCCTGACCCCTGTGCCCCAAACAGCTCTGTTTAGCCAGCAAGAAGTGGGGAACCAAAGAAGGGAGCARGCACGAGGGAGCACTCACTGGTCCCATGCATGGATCTGTCCTACCGGTGCCCCTCTGACACCTGCAGGGGGACAGGCAGGGCAGGGGGAGGTTCCAGGCTCTGACACTGCCCTGGAGCTGTCAGTAGCTCTCTCCCTTCCCTGGCCAGCCCTGTTCTCCTGCAAAGGGCTCAGGGGGATTCAGCTCCAAAAGTGGCGTGTGCTGTGCTTGGTTGGGCAGAAACGCAGCAGTTGGGCAGATTGAAGCAGCAGCATCAGAACTGGGTCACAGCCGGATGTGACCCCATGAGAGTTTGGTGAGCAGACCCATCCCCGCCTTTCCAGSATGTGCTGAAGAGTTTGAAGAGGAACTGGTGCTTCCAGGGAGGTAATGCACAATAAAAATCTTCAAAATGTTCCGCATTGGTGCTGGAGATGAGAAAATGTACAGGCTCCTGCTGAAAGCAAAACAAAGGGACAAAATGTTCTGCTTGGGCAGAAGCTGCTGTTGATCCTCCCTGGCCAGTAAGAGTGAAGCTTTGCTACATGAATAATCTGGGACAAAATGCTAAAAGGCAGAATTAAGAGTGAGTTTCTGATATGAGACAGCTCCCATACAGGACTTAACAACTGGCCAAAATCCCAGTAGCAGGTTTTTATTTAYCTCTGGAATTGTTCACAGGGACTGTAACGATGAGGGACCCCACTCCAGGGGTCAGGCTGATCTCTGCTTTCCTCTCCTGGAAAACACACTGCTCCCAGTGCCAGATCCTCACCCTTTTCCGTGCACTCCCCATTTCGGGGGCTTCTCTCTGTACCACACAGCCCAGAGAGCTGCCGTGTTAGAGCAGCCCAGGCACTCCCAAATCCCGACGCAATCACTGCATGCAAAGGATGTGCTGCAGCAGAACAGAATTCCAGCACGGGTCAGGTGTGAAGGGACTCCAGTGRCTCCTCTGATCCCACCCCTGCTCAGGCAGGGCCACCCCAGAGCACATGGCACAGGATTGCATCCAGACGGCTCCGCAATATCTCCATTGATGAAGACTTCRAAGGGAGACGATTTCCCTTTGTCCAGCATCAACTGAGCTCCTTCTCCCACGCTGTGATGAAGTCAAGTGTCTCCAGACCCCCAGGCCTGGGGAGTGACTGTCCCTGCTGGTCCCTGTGGGCAGGCACACGACACACAGACCCCACTGCCAGCCGCTGCCGGCCCGGGATCACTGCGGGGCCACAAAACCCCGGACTGGTTGGGGTGGGAAGGAGCTCAAAGCTGATCTATCCMCCTGCCATGGGCAGGGACACCCTCGCCAGCCGCAGACTGCCCCAAGCCCCSTCCAGCCCCGCCTCAGACACGGCCGGGGATGGGACCAGGGCGCGCCCCCGACACCACCACCGCCCGGGGCGGGGCCACGCCCATGTCGTCACCGCACGTGCCCCCGTCTGACGTCACGGCCCGGGCCCCGCCCCTCGCCATGGCGGCGCCCTGCGCGGAGATGGAGCCGGCGGCGCCTCCTCCGTCCCCTCCTCCCACGGCCGCCGCCGCCGCGCCGGGCTCGGCCGGGCTCGTGTGCGCGCAGGGCCGCAACCTGCGGGCGGTGCTGTGCCAGCGCTGCGGCTCCCGGGTGCTGCTGCCCGGCGCCGCCACCTTCGCCCGCCGTGAGGTACCGGGGCGTTCGGGGAGTGGGGGGGACGGGCGGTGCCGGCCGGGCGGTGACGGCCCCGTGTCTCCGCAGCTCCTCCTGCCCGCCATGAGGAAGAAGGCGGCAGCGGCGGCGGCGGGCGGCGGCGGGGACGTGCTGCGGGAGCACTGGCTGGTGCGCGACATGTTCTCCTTCGAGAACGTGGGATTCACCCGCGACGTGGGCAACGTCAAGTTCCTGGTGTGCGCCGACTGCGAGGCGGGGCCCATCGGCTGGCACTGCCTCGACGACAAGGACAGCTTCTACGTGGCGCTGGAGCGCGTGGCCCACGAGTGACACCGGCCGCGGGCCCCGGGCCGGGAGCTGGGCCCGACCGCGGGAGCTGCGACAGCTCCGGGCCGGGCAGCGCTGCGGACTGACCCGGCCCGGGGCACTGACCGCGGCTGGTCACCCCAGAGCCCGACTGACCGCAGCCTGCCTGCCCCGTGTCCTGGTGCCCCGTGGCCTGGCTGGTCACAGCTTGCCTGCCCCGCGGTGTGACTGACCCATGGCCCAGCTGTCCCCCCACATCCCAGATCCAGCGTCAGGAACTGCAGCCCCGGCACAGCCAACCCCTCACCTGCACCCGCGTGGGAAGAGTGGTGGTGGTGGGAGGGTTTCCTGTAACCTGCAGGGACAGCTGGCCCTGGCAGTGTTGCCAAGTGGCCTGATCTGCTCCTGCTTGACTACTCTGCCCCTTCCCTGGGGATTACTGTTGCTCCCAGGGACTGAGGTGCCTCTCAGGCTGATGGCCCTGTGACACCATGTAAATGGGGCACAGGGACAGGGCAGCGGGGGGACGGGACTGCTGCACTGAGTCAGCAGCTGAAATTGTCTGACCTGCAGGCAGAGCAATTCCCRTGTTTAAGGCTGAATCTTCTGTTGATTATCAGAAGGAATGTTCCCTGCCCCAAGCTCTAACATTTRTGTTCTCCAGAACCTCATCCCACCTGACAGCTGTACTCTGAGAGGTACAGCACCCTGAAGGGAGTGTAAGGCATTCCAGCTAACGCGTACAATTCTATTAACTGAGTACTGGAAGTAAAATACAGGTAGAATGTGCAGACAGCATGGGCTGATAGAACAGCAAATACAGAAAATGTGCCAGACCATAGTATCTTTAAGCAGCAAGAGTGAAGAGATTCCAGCCTGAAAAGGATTTGAATCATTGGACAGGCAGTGCTGAAGCTTGTCAGAACAGCCTTGTTTTGTGTGTGTTAAACAGAGATGGCAGGAAGGAATTTTCTCTTCTATAAAAGCAGGTGCCAAGAGCAGTCTGGAATATTGTGACCTTTTAAAAACTGGGCACAAGCTGATTAAAAGTAGAAGGAGGCTACAGCAGCCGTGGTTCTCACTGCATTTATCACTGCTGGTAATCATGGCCCAGTTCATTCTCCATTGCTAACCCCTGTATGGGTGACAGAACAGCTCTCCAGGGATGCTCTGGGGTCCCTGGTGCTGTGCCTTTCTGGCACATGTCACTGTCCTCTGTTCGTAAACACAGCTGTGAAGGGACAGCTGTCACCATGCTGGGATGATGGACTTGTTTGTGCCACCAAACTCAAGGTGCAATGTAGGTGGGAAGAACCTTTCCCTTACCCCTCTAATGAAACAATTTTGCTGGCTGCAAAAGGATTCTGCAAGGCAGGCAAAGCTTTGGATGAGTCTCCAGAAGAGGCATCCTGACAGTGTCAGAGGCAGGAACAAGTCCCTTCTTCCTGCACTGCTTGAGCACCTGCACTTTTAAGATTTGGAGACTCTGCCTTAATGTGGAACAACCCAGATGYTGGCTGTTCTGGGTCTGCTCCATCAGGAGCCTCTGCTATAGGATTTGTCAGGGGAAGGAGAGAGGCAGAGTTGTGGTCTGAGGGCTCAGGCTGGAGCAGGAGGCGAATCCTGTGCTGTGTCCTTGATAAATGTGTTGGAGGCACATTTGTCATGGAAACTGCTTCTTCCCTCCTGCTTTTCCTGTCTCAGCCCTCAGCCCAGGCACAGCACAGGTTCATCAAGGACAAGAATCTCAAAGGACAAGAGAGCTTCAGCTGGCCTCTGCACAGGCATGGCAGAATGGTGGGATCACGTCACAGATTTCACACTTTCATGTGGATTGTTGTCTGTTAGGGGATGTGTTCTGACCTGTAACTCCCCAGTTATTGTCCATGTTACTTAAATGTACCRTGCTGCACAAGCTTCCTTTTGAAGGTGCCGCTGTGCAGAGCAGACTGTGGAAATCAGCTTGGCTAATGCTGAGTAAATGACCTCCAAAAAAATGATCCATGTGAATTCCTGAGTGGTGGGTGGCGCTGGGATGGAGCTGGGGGGCRGTGGCAGCTTTCCCAGTTGGTCAAACACTTGTGGAGAGATGGGAGAGCACAGGTCAAAGGCCTTCACATCAGAATGGAACAACTCAGATCCACCTCAGTGCAGCGCTCGGGGATGGGAGTCCTGCAAGCTCCTGCTGTTCTTCAGTGGGAGAGGGCAGGTGAATCCTCTGTGGATCCAGGTGTGCTCCGTACTGACTCTTAAAACTTAGATAGGATCACTTAGACTTGAAATGCCAAGAATAAATGAACAGTCTGATGGGAATTTTTGGGAAGAGGCTTTTGTTCCATGAGATCTGGGGGGTCTTTCAGCCTCAGGTGAAAGAGTCTTGGGTTCCTGCAGTTTGGAGAGGCCATGAGAGACACCCCTGCAGTGCAGGTGGCAGGGGCGGAGAGCTGGGGCAGGTGAAGGGACAGCTCCCAGTTTGCACCTGGGCTAATTCATGGTCCCAGAGGTAACAGGCAATGCGGGAAGTGGGGAAAAGGCATTATCACTTTGTGGGATTTGAGCCCTGGCAGTTCCACTGAGCTGTTAATGGAGCCTTGGGGGAGGAATGTCCCAGTCAGCAGACATGGCCTGGGGGAAGAGCTACTGCTGCTCCACAGGACACAACACCAGGCTTGGGATCTGCTGAAGCTTCATAATTTCCTGTGTCAATGAGAGCTAATAAAAATTCACACAGACTCACAAATAAACATAATMTTTTCATTGCTTTTTATCCAGCATGCTGAAAAACTGTTTTTCAGTTGCCTGCAGTAACTCCTAGAAAATAAGGATAGACAGCCCCCAGGCATGTGAAGCACTTACATAAGATCTGGGRAAGCTTATCTTGCAGCCCATCTTTCTCTATCCACACCAAGACAGAGCAGGAACTTTATTTCCACCTGTAGGTTATTTTAAGTTGATTTGAAAATGGATTCTTCTGTTTAATGTCTTCATTGAYTTGACTCCTAAGACCATCCTGTGTTGAGATGTTGCAGTGCCTCGAGAGGGAGCAATAACAAATGTGTATCACTTACTCCAGCCAATCCCTCCAGTAAGGTCTTGGGGGACAAATAATAATTCTGTCTGATTGCTTCCCAGTGTGGATTTAAGGCATGCCTGTTTACATGGGCCAGGTGTTTGTATCTGGGCTTGGCTGACATTGGGCACCTCGTGTAACTTCTCTCTGCTCCCAGTCCCACCCAAACCTCTCCCTGCTGCTAAACCCTATGCACATTCAATTTGATCACTTAGGTTAAAGCTTCTTTTCTTGGCTGCTGGGTTGACACACAGGAGTTTAAGTGCTGCAGCCTAAGATAATCCAGAGGCAATGTCAGGGTGAAGGCCTTCCCTCCTTTTTGGCAGCCACAGGCTGTGAGATCAGCAGAGCTGTCCTGGGGAACTGCCACAAGTCATGCCTTGTGTAGAGGTCACAATGACATCTTCCTTCTCTAAATTAAGTACTTATTACTGAACAGGTAAGTGGTGTGTGGAGCAGGGACTGTGATTCAAGGCTTCCTCTTTCCTGAGCTCTACAAATCAGCAAAAGGCCTTGGTGCCTGCCAAGACCTGAGGTCYTCCTTGATTCCTCCCCTCTTACTGAGGGAGTCTTCAGCAGAGCAACRATGCCAGTGTGGACTTTGAAGCGGTATTTTGGAGAACTTTGCTGCCCTGCTGTGTCCCAGGGCTCTCCCACCCAGCTGGTCCTCACAGAGGAGCCCAGAAGAGATGGAAGTGGGATCACTGCAACACTTGCATGGTGTGTCTGTGGAACCTGCTCCCTGCAGGTATGGAGGGGAATGGCTTGGCAGAGTTCACAGAAGAGCTGTGGCTGATGAAAGCAGGGCCAGCTTGGCCTTTATGGTGTTCCCTCTTCTGCACAGCTCACCTTGCTATGTTCCCTAAACCTCTGTGTGARCAGGGACTGCCCCATAAGCACAGGCAATGCTGCAGGGGGGGTGTTTGGGGGAACAGGGATTTCTGAAATGTGTTATGAATTTCCCTGAAGATCATTTTACAYATCTGACATTACACTCCCTGGCAGGAACAAAAGTAGGAGGAAAGGAAACAATTTAGAGGAAACAGCTTCAGGGTCCTTGGACAACTGGTGCAGGGAAAGCATCCTTGCCTCCCACAGAGCCAGGTTAATACAGGCCAAACTCCAGAATCAAAGAAATGCTAAACCACTAAGTATTTTGCCAAAAACCCACCAAGTATTTTGAAGCTGCTTGGGGACACAAAAGGAAACCACAGCAGATGAGTGGAACTGGCCATAAAAGTGTAGAAAGAACATGAAGGCTTTTATCAAAGGCAGCTTTGTTCTCTTTCAACCAACACTTTTATGCATTTCAGCATAAATTCTTGAGTGCTGAGTTGTGAGGCAGCCAGGTCCCTACGGTGCAGCTCTGGTACGAGCACAGCTGGGCCCCTCGATKCCGATGAGGGGAGAGAAGGGGGAGATGGCAGCCCAGCAATCCAGGTGAGAGTTACTGACCTGTGGGGCTGGATGGGGGATAGAAGCCTGTTTTCACAGGAGTGTGCTTTGGAGTGAGTGCCCCGGCACCTGAAAACGACCTGAGCTTGTACAAAGTGAAAATGAAGTGCTTGGTTCCCTGAGGAAGAGTGAGCAGGTTCGTGGGTTGCTGAGGTAACATTTCCATCCTCCAAGGGGAGGAAGCAGCTCTGGAAAAAGTGTTTCTTGCACCTTTCCTAAAACTGAATCGAGCATGTCACAATCCATCCCAGCGGAAGCTGYAGTTTGGCTTTTGAAGTACTGCAYATCCAGGTGTGGGAGAGCTCCAGGGTGGGAGCAGCAGGGAGGATCTGTCCCTTGGGCTGCCAGGGCCGTTTCCTGGGGACCTAAGACATGAAGGATTCAGATTCAGCTTTTCCTTGGAGAGGGGCAGTTGCCCTTCCTTCCTGGGCACGGTTCCTGAGCTGCACGGGGCAGCCCGGGCAATCTCACAGCGCAGAAATGCAGCTGGAGCTGGAGTGGGATATGTGCTGCCACAGCAGCCATGCAGCCGCCCAGGAGGCCGAGGCAAAGCGCCAGAGCCGTGTGTTCGCAACAGCCCCGGCTGCGTGCGGCAGGACAGGGCAGAGCTGSGGGCAGGGAATGCCCTTCACAAGGCTCTCAGGGTCATTTGTGCGTTCGCGTGTCCCCGGGGCGGGAGGATGCGCTCCCCGCTGGCTGTGTTGGTCCCGCCTCTCTTCGCTGGGGAAGCAGCGGGGTGTGTGTACGCTCAGCTGGGCTCCTGCTCCCCCTTTCATGTTCCTTATCTTCCAGGAGGCTCGGAATTCCCCGGGGGAAGGCAGACGGCTGCTGTAATCGCTCTGCGTGCAGAGGCAGAGCACTCCCATCTGCCTGCTGCCGGGAGTCCCCTGTGCCATTGYTCCAACCCAGCTGGAAGAGATGCCCTGAGAGCAAGGGAAAATGAGCAAAGCCGTGTCAGAACAGGTATCGTTCCCCTCCTCTGCACGCGGCCTGGAATGCTGTGAACAGCAGGCTCTTTCCTGGCAAACATMCAGACCGCAGCTCATTGAGGAATCGCTGGTTAATTTGGAATATCTGGCAGTGGAACAGGAGGACGTGGCTTCAAGAACTTGTTGCCCTGTTTTCCTGTTCTCTGAAACAGACAGGAGGACTTGGTTCTCTCTGCCATGGCAGGTCCRACAGACTGGCACCAAAAAAAGGCCAGGACTCAGCAAACAGAACCCAACTGCCAAAATGAAAGGATGCTTGGGGAAAAGAGCAGCTTCAGKCTCCGGAGGGAGGGATCTCCCTTGRTGAGGAATAACAGAGTGTGAGGGCTGTAGTTAGAGCAGCAATCCGGGGGCTCTGTGCCCTCGTCAGCTCCATCCCTGCTGCAGCCACAGATGTCCCAGCTTGGCTCTGGTGCCAGTGCTCCACAGGCCCTCACAATGACAGCACTGGATCCCTTTCCTCAAGGCCCCTGCTAGGTTATGGGGATTTCTGCTGGAAACCCAGTATGCTGGCACCAAGAGGGAATGTTTTGTGTGTAGCTGGATAGTACCCAAGACACAGCTCCTGCTGGTGAGAGAGGTGATGCCACAGCGCCCAGTGCTGCACATCCTCAGGGCAGCACAGCACAAACTGCAGTTCACTGGGACCCTCTGGTTCATTCCTTGGCACCCCGTCCCCACCTTTGCAGAGTTTGTGCTGCTGATCCAGCTAAACTGCTGTGAAATTGGTCTTGACACAAAGGTCAGTGAGAAGAGGTTGKTGCCATGTGCAGCTGCACCACAAGGCCAGTGCAGTGTGGAACTGGGTGCACTGGTTGTGGTGCAGTGCCCCTGCAGTGCCCCTCTGCCTTGTCCATGCATCCCTCTGCAGGTCACTGGACCTCCTGGAGCTCTCCAGCCAGGAGAGTGCTTCARCTCCTCAGGGCTAATGGGGACACGAATGTTCAGCTCTGTCCTGGTGCCCTGCTCTAATCCATCTGTGTCACCATGAAYGCCCAGAGTGTCTCAAATCTGAGACAGTCCATTAAGGAGTTTCTGTTCCTGCCTGGTTTACTGGTCAGCAATCCACTGGATTCTCAGTCCAGCCACCCTGTGTGCACTTCAGGTAGCAAGAACCAATGCAGATCTGTGACACTTCACCCAGCCTGTGCTCCCTGACCATCACAGATGGATACAGCCCTGCCAGGGAAGTCTGGACTGTGGATGTGTCACGATTTAACCCCAGCTGGCARCTAAGTGCCAACACAGCCCCTTGTTTCTCCCCCAACTGTCCAAAGCCCGACCAGACCCCACCACCCCCACCCTCTTTTTCAGGGCTAAGCACAGCATCACATGGTCTGGGATATCCCTGTGGTCACTGAGGGACAGCTGTCCTAGCTGTGTCCACCCAGCTGCTTGTGCACCCCCAGTGTTGACTGGTGGGTCAGGGTGAGGGGCTCAGCAGGAGCTAAATCATCCCTGTGGGATYGGTGCTGTTTTCAGCACAGATCCCAACTAGCACCACAAGGTGCTGTGGAGAGCTGTAACTCTGGCCCAGCCCAAACCCGTGCAGGATGTGAATTGTTTGCCACGCTCACTTACTGCACCAGTGCTGACAGGTTCCATGGTCAGAAGGACCACGTGGCAGAGTCAGTACAGGTGGGAAGGTCCAAAYGCTGGGAATAGGAGTGAGGTGATACCTGGTGCTGCTGCCTGAYCAGCAGTGAGGGGAAACTGCACAGCAGGAGAAATCTGGCTTAATGGGGGATTCCAGTTACCCACACAAAAAGAATCACAAAGTAGTTTGGGTTGGAAGGGACCTTAAAGCTCATCCTGTTCCACTCCCTGAAGGGACACCTTCCACTGTCCCAGGGTGCTCCAAGCCCTGTCCAACCTGGCCTTGGACACTTCCAGGGATCCAGGGGCATCCACAGCTGCTCTAGGCACCCTGTGCCAGGGCCTCCCCACCCTCACAGGGAGGAATTCCTTCTCCATATTCCCATCCATCCCTGCCCTCTGGCAGTGGGAAGCCATTCCCTTGTGTGCTGTCACTCCAGACCCTTGTCCAAAGTCCCTCTCCAGCTCTCCTGGAGCYCCTTTAGACACTGGAAGGGGCTCTAAGTTCTCCCTGGAGCCTTCTCTGCTCCAGGTGAACACCTCCCAAAAAGCTAATTAGTTGCCCTGAAAGAGAGGCCAATTCCTGTAGTGTGGCAAGATATGTTTTCAGCATCTAAACCAAAAGTTARTGTGGAGAACACAAATCTGTAGG